GTCGTACTAGTAGTAGTACTACATATATATATATATATATATATATATATATATATATATATATATATTGTAGTCCAATTACCCCTAACCACCAAATGTGGGAATATAGGGACCATGGCCATATAATTTCAACTCCAATGAGTGGAACCCTGGCTATCTGGTTGGGGCTTGGTCAATAGTGATGATAGATAATGTAAAATTCCACCCACAGTACATGAATCAAGTTCTGGGTGAAGAGCTTACCTGTTCTGGATGTAGTGCAGTTCCCCCACCAGGATACCAATCTTCTTTTGACACACCCATGATCTATACAGATGCTTTCTGTATGGATAAAACCCTCACTGGCCCCTCCACCTTTTCAGTGTGGGATTCTAGCTGTATTGGGTGTGGAGGTAAGTATGTTTTGGAAGTTAATATTTTCTAAACTCAAAAATGTATTTCCATTAATACTTACCTCCTTTCACACTCTCCTGCCCTTCCTCCCCACTAGAGAGACTGCAGACTGAGTCAGTCTTGAAAATGTAATAACATTATCTTAATGAGGTGTTTATATATACAGTATCAGGATAGAGGTGCATGACATAGATGGAGAGTGTTATGAGACAAATATCACCAAGGGCATTTAAGTGTGGTATAAAATACTGGAGCAAGCGAGAAAAAATCAAACTAATGCTTAGATATGCAAAGGAAGAAACTCTGGCAGTCGAGTAATAGCTGTAGTGTGATGGTAGGTAAGTATTATTGGAAATACATTTTCAATTTAAGAAAATGTTAACTTTTATGATTTCCATTGTTGTATGTAATGAGTAAGAAATAACTGTACAATGTTTAATTCATCACATATTTTTAGCAAATAGAGAATTTTAAAATCTTTCTATTTCTTGCTTGAATTTTGTCCTATAGTAAATAAAAATGGTGAAATAAGTTATATTACTAATGAAGGTAAAATTTAGCTTCACCTTTTCATAAAATTTAATACTTTTAAACTATGTTATTAACATGAATAAAGTTGTTTGGAATGCACATCATGTTTATCTCTATCAATATTTAATTATATGACTTGAAACACAGGATCCACCGATGGTAGAATCCATGTATGGAGTGCTAAAACAGGTGTTAAAACAGCAGTTCTCAACTGTGATCATACAGGCCCTGTTCAGTGTGCTCAGTTTAACCCAAAATATATGATGTTAGCATCTGCCTGTACAAATATGGTAAGCAACAAATGTTGATCTAGTGTCTTATTGGTAAAATAGTGTTAGTTTTCAAAGAAATTTTGATATGGCTCTTCAGTTTTGTTGAAAATGTAATGTTCATTGTAGTTCTTTCTATTTTTAACAGAAAATAACCGAGTTTTTAATTTGCTGTAGTTTTGTTTTATTGTAAGAGATTTACAGTGTTTAATACAGAAAAAAATGTACTAGATACTGTAGTTTTTTAAATGGAAAGCATTAAGTTCCATTTACAGTTTCCTATAGCAAGTGAAGTAAATTTTAGTTTCTAATAGGGAACTAAAGTGACTAATTTTATATAGTAATATGTTTTTTATAGGAGAAAGAATTACTTTTGGCCCCAATGCTCATCATTAAAGAAGGAAGCATTCAATTTAGAATACAGTAGAACCTCAACATTAAGGGCATCCTTTCAACTGCATCCAAATGCCCTCTGTAGCAAGGTGCCCTTAATATAAAAAATGAGCCATGCAAAGTTGGATTCCATATTGACCATACGAAGTTTCCTAATTTTAAGGCACCCCATTTCGTTTGGTGTATGCAGGACACGGATATTTGTAAGTTGCACATTGCCATGATATGGAGCATTGTCAACAGGGGGTGAATTAACTGTGCCTTTTTTCTTTATTATTGGTCATAAAGTTTCAAAGCACTTCTCTTCAGAGTTTGAACTGCTAAATGTTTCACATTTATTTTCTGTGTTTATTTTACTGTCAAAGACTGAAGTAGAAATTCCCTGTAAATAAAGCAACAAATTACCGATTGTGTCATTAGACTGTTTACGTGAGAATAACAAAGCACACACACACAGAAATAAGCTGACTCGACCCCTACTCTGAGAACACAATGTGGAATTTATCAGCTTATGTATCCTACAATGTTAACAACAAGAATTTTCCAGAGTAATACAATTGCACTTTGAATCTATGAAAACGTTTCTACAGTATATAGTTCGGAGCCAATCCAACAAACATCGCAAGTGCTTGAATGTTGGTATACTGTACAGGCCTACAAAGATAATTGCTCGCTTTATCGAGTTCCCATAATCCGGAATATTCAGGTGCCCGTTATTGCAAAATTTATTTTGGTTACAAATAGTAGGAAAAATAAACTGAAAAGGTCTGCCCTTAATGACATGGTGCCTGTTGTTTCAAGGTGCCTATTAATCAAGGTTCTACTGTATAATCACTTGTTTGATTTTTTTTTATGTATTGATAAAAATTACACAATTACATATCTGTTGAATTCATATACATGTAAAGTCTAAATAAATTATTTATTTTTTTATTAAACTAATTTTATTTTATTTGTTATAAAAACTGATGTTTCAAGAGTAGTTTTCAATAAAACTGTTCTGTTTAATTATTTTCAGGCTTTCTGGCTGCCCAATATAGATGAAGAAATGTGACAAAAAATAAAGAACTTTCTTGTACAGTCCCATAGAACACCTGAAACACAAGAAACCCACCAGTTTAAATGAATATATCCTTACTCTGGTGGCAAATAATATAACTAAAACCTTTACTTGAAGTCTGGCATTGAATAGGAAAATAAAACTATAATCCCAGTTGTGGAATCCTTTCAAGGCTTCAGTTTAGGCGTATCAGTGATGTTATTTTACTGTCATCAAAAACATTTGCATATATATGACCAAGCCATTTTTTATTTCTTGTGTGTTTCAGCATTTTTGTCACCTCTTCACCATTTTTATAAGTTAGGAATACGATTGATATAAAAGGTTATATTAAACATAAATGTAACATTTTTCTTAACTGTGCTTATAATAAATTCAGTGCTATAATTCAAATAATCATATTTCATAGAGAGTTAAGATTTTCATATAACTCAAATTTTTTAAGAAACCTAATCAAAGTAATCTGGGGTGTAAAAACCATTGAAAGATGAACATTTTTTCGTTTTCAGATGTGTGTGCATCTTATTATGTGTGCTCAGTTTATTAATAGTGGGGGCCGTAATCAAGCCTTAAATATTTCTAACACTATTCTGTATTTTAGCATTCAATTTTTAGGTATATAGATCTGTCACTAGTTTTCTTACACATGTATAGAAACTATTTCATGTTTGCTTTGATCTTTCCTTGTGCCCAACATCATAAAGGTGTGAAGTTTTTATACTGATGACTAGGTATCTCCCTATTACATAAGTTAGTCAGTGGGATTTTTTTTATCTATTATTGTGAGGAATGAGGTTCAGTAGTTCCTTTAGAGAATGTTGCGTGCTGTCATTTTAACATTTTGTACTGCCTAGCAATAATCAATAAAAATAGAACATTTTACATTATACTGTTAAAATTTTAGATAAGAATAGAATAAAATATTTGTTGCTACTGTTCATAATATACTTAGATATCTTTGACATGATGATGTGACTGTTACTTATTGCCAATATTGTATAGCCATGTTTTTGGTAGTTTAGAATCTAATTTGTGTCTTGTAAGTGAATACATACTGAGTAGGCTTTACTTGTTCTGGTAGGAACTGAAGAAATTTGTTGTTGCTCAAATATAACAGCTTGGTGATGTCTTTAAAAGATTCTGTATAGGAAAAAACAACAATTTTAGTACAAAGGTAATCATTGGCACATTTTAATTTTATATAACTAACAGTAAAAGATAGAAATTATAGCACTGATGATTTGATCTGTTTAAATATAAACATGAGATTTGATAATTGGATAAAACAAGTTCATATGTTTTACACATTTACTGTATTTCTTGTTTGGTTTCCTTTTTTGTTGTTGTAATTGTTAAGTGTGCAGTGTGGCAGTATGAAATATAAAGGAATTCAGTATAATTCGCATTTCATGTTTTAGCCATGAATGTATGTATGAAAAAATTTAAGATATCTGACTTATGTATATATTGTATCAAACTTACACATTATTGTTTATAGTAGAAATCACATACTAAGAAGTAAAAGATTCAATGATGTTTTAAGTTAACCAGTTTTAGGTATATTTTGTAAGTATTTGATGATAGACATGTACACATGAAAGTTACCAGTTTTTATTAACTTGTAAGATTCTTAGCATACAGTATTTTTCTCCAGTGTTTGTGAACAAATAAGACAGCTAGTGGTAAACAGCTTGAAAATTGTAATAAAAAACATCATTTACATTGTTTTCTATCTTTGTAAATATAAAAGAGCTATAGAGTTGACTTAGCCAATCTCTGTGTGATGATATGGGTGTTTATATTCTTTATGATTAGCTTAGTGTTTCAAGCCACAACCAATTTTTCACTAATTTTGTTTTATTGAATGTTTGGTGTTAAGGATGGTAGAAGAGTGGTTAATTAGAATTCTCTCCTTTTTGCTATCATAAGAATATTAAAGGATCAGTAGAATTTGTCATCTTTCATGTACTTAAGGAAAATAATTTTTATACTTCAAATGTGAGTGAAATGTATATGTAGAGAAAAATATAATTTTCATCATTTCAGAATAGTCATTCATGTGGAAATGATTCACATAATTAGCATTGTTAGTTCTTTTTCAAATTTTTTTATTAAAATGATTAAAAACTTATTACGTTTTTCTTTTTAACTGCATACCTTGACTGTTCATAATGAGCCTCTTTTAACATTGAAATTGATACCGTCTGCTTTGAAATATTTTTATTCATTTCGTATTGTAAATTTGTAGAAAATTATAAAAATCTTTGTGTAAAATGTTTTTATGTATCATCATTATTGTCAAAAATGTGATAAAACCTACAAAGAAAAATACAATAGCATTAGCAGACCAGTTTATCTTAAAAAATAGTTGTGTTTATCAAACATAAAAAAATTATGTTTGTCTTAATGTCGATTGTATATCTCGAACAAATGAACTGACTTGATGTGATTGTCATACTCAACATGTTTAAGATTTTGTAGTTATACATAACATATATGGCAGAAATAAAAGAATTAGCCACATTACTGTTTATGACATCAGTTTTGTACGTAGTCTTCCTTAACTATGATGAGCATTGTTGTTTTGGCAATGGCACACATTGATTTTAGAATTCAGAAGTAATTTTAAAAAAAAGGCATGGAAAGTGTTTAGTAAAGCAAAAGCAGCTTTTAATATTAAATTACTTAGGGTGAGTGAAGAGTTAGGCAAATAAATAGTCGTGTATATTAAATTATGAAAGCACCATGTCCTATAAGTTTATTACAAGTGCCCAAAACTGGAGTTGTTCAAAAAATTTAGAACATAAGTATAATAAACATGATTGTTATACTGTACTTATCTTGATAGAGATAAGACTTTGAAGTTATCAAATAGAATAGGTTGAGTCATCAGGGGTGTCATCTACAACTTCTGCTGCATCATGTAAGCCTGCAGGAAGAACACTAATCTCTTGAGGTCATTTTCATTCATTGACCGGTATATCTGAGAAACTAAGATGATATACACCTGGAAAAAAGTTAAGCACCCCCAAATATTTTTCAGGATTGCTTATTGAAAATAAGGTTTAATT